CAAAAATGCGCCCGAATGTTGAAAAAAACCTCGCTTTTGTTAAATTTATTTCGTTTCATTTTGTGTATCGAAAGAATTTTAATTGATTGGTCAATAGTCATGCATAGATTATAACCCATACAAATACAAGTTTTTTTTTATGCACGTATAACGATAACATCGTACAAAATTGTTAACGGTATGATATCGAGCACTAAAATGTAGAACACCCCCCTTTTATATTGCATAGTGCCCATTTTGTGCGAGTGCTACCAACCAAAAATGGAAATTACCAGTCGAATGTGATTATCCCGGATCAGATCGACACGTGAGCAAAGCAAAGAGAAAATACAGAAATATAGAAAATGAGTGTTTAAATCAAATGACAAGAATGAAATTTTTATGATTATTTACTTTTGTTGCCTCTAAAGTCCTAGCCATAAAATTTTGATTTTACGAACTTAGCGTTAGATTAATATTACTTTTAGTCCTTTTTTGGGTTTGTATTACTCGAACAAACATGTATTTTCCCGTCTTTAGTACTAAGTTTCCTTTTTAAGTTTGTACCACTTTCGCAAATAGTTAAAGCAAATATTTAAAATTCGATCAACTTTGGGTTTGAGTCAGTTTTTGGAATAAAATTATAATAAAATCGCATTGCCAACACTTTTGCATAGTACTTGAAGACTAGTTTAGGCACCAAATTTTTTTATTTGCGTATTTTTTTCCTTATAACTTGTTCTTCTTTTATTCAAGTAATTTCATGCACACTTGGAATTAGCCTATCCCAAAGTTGGTAATATTATAGTAACGGTAACGTTTCATTTGTCATTGCGCATATTTATTTAGTTGATCTATTTGATTTACATTTAACGCACTTCTTTTCAAGTTTATGCGAACTAAATATGCAAATTTATAAATGCCACCTTCTACAAACTATATTCGATTAATATTAAACACAAAATGGTCAAACGATCAAATCGTTCAAGATGTTTAAAATGTTATCCGTTATTTACTTTTGTCATTTTTATTACTATACTTTTTTTAATGGTTTTTGATCTTAGACTTAGTGTTAGAGTTTATTGGAGGGATTGGATTTTACAAGAAGAATTTAAACATGAAACTTTAAGCAAATGCTTTGATAATATTTCCAATAATTCTGAACCGTCAATTATTTATAATAATATTTTAACTACTTTACCTCTCAGTTATGGTTGGGATTGTTACGATTTTGCAAAAAGTATAAAATTAAAGCCTGGTCAACCTCGTGAAAAAATAATCTACCATGCTTATTGGCGTGCTGATTTACGACCTTTTGGTGATAAACAAATCGCTACCTTAAAGTCATTCTTTGCTACTCAAGACGCAAATTTTTCATCTCTTATCCTTTGGACTAACGGAAATCTTTCGACTGTTCCTTCTCTTAATATGTTGGTTGAACGTTATTCCCATCGATTCATAATAAAACATTATGATGTCCTAAGAGAAAGTAAAGGAACACCTATGGAAAATTCACCAAATCTTGAATTTAAAGATAAACTTGCTTACCTTGATGGTGACTTGATTAGACTCCTTGTTTTATACAAATATGGAGGTATGTGGTTTGATATGGATTCTCTTTTTATACGTGATTTATCTCCACTCATGGAGCATGAATGGCTTGGTCAATGGGATTGTTTTATGCCAAAGGGTTATCCTTTCAACGGTGCTTTTATGAGATTTCGTAAGAATTCTCCTTATTTATGTGAACTTCTTTCCGAAATGGCTAATGGTCCTGTTCCTAGTAAATCTTCGATTGATTGGGGTGGAAGAATTTATTATAAAGTTTTTAGACGCTTAATTCAAAATGGAAAAAAACCATTTGGAATGATTCCTTGGTGCTTTACTGATCCTCACTTGTGTAATCCGTACAATTCAATGCCTAATGCTTTTGATGAATCTGATTTTGATAAGGAAAGATTATTACAGACATTTGCTTTTCACTGGCACAATCAATGGGATAAGGAAAAAGGGAGTTTATTTAGATTTCTAGAAGAAAGAAATAATGAGATTCTGGGTTTTTAAGACATTTATCAAACTTTGTAAATTTTATAATTATAG